CTGGCAGGGGCGGGGGGGGGGCTCAGCGGCTGGCCGGGCTGAGGGAGCTCTTCTTTCAGTAGCTGATTAGCCAAGAGAGAAAAAAAATCCTGCAGAATGTGCTGCTGGCAGACACCTCCTTCAACTCATCGCTCCGTGTGTGTGTGTGCGCGGCTGTGCGTGCGCTTCCCGACCTGCCTGGCTCCAGCAGATGCTCCAGGCTTCCTACTCGCCGGCTGCATTAACCGCTTAGCAAATCTCCCCCACGAGCGTGTCTGGCCGGGCAGCCGCGCGTGCTCGGCCCCGTCTGATGGCCGCGAAGGTGCGAAAGGAAGGGCTGCGAGGAGCCTGGGATTCAAGCTTGGAGCGGGAAGGGCGGCAGCGCCGCTGGGATGGAGCTGTGAGCACGTCGGAGCCAGGAGAGGAGCGACCCCACGGGTGCTTTGCCACCAGCCTGGTGGGCTTGGCCTCTCTCCGGTGATGTGGCAGGAAGGTCGGGGCTCCTTCGCCCCGCTCTCGGCCTGCACGGCTCTGCAAAAGCTCATGGGTACCCCGGAGCAGAGCCCAGAGGGGCTCCGGCCCCAGCCTGGCCCTCCCAGGCTGTGCCCACCACCGTAACCTCCCCTGCGCTCCGAGCCAGGGAGCCCCCCCTCCAGCTTGCCCAGGGGAGGTGCATGAGAGCAGGTTCCCAAATCATACCGGCTGCTCGGCGGGCAGGTGTTTCTGCTGCTGAACTCAATACTTTTTGTTTTCTTGCCCTTTTCTGTTGAGGGGAAAGTACATCCTAGTGTTGCTGTGTCCTTTCCAAAACGTGCCTCTTTGTGATGGGGAACACCGATGCGCTGCGGTTGTTTTATATGCTGAGAAGGGAGTAGGGCAGGGAGCTTTAGAGGGAGCCTGCAAATCCAGGTGAAGAGATCGCCCTAACCCGCATTTACCTGTGCTAAAGGATGTGGCTGGAGGGGTAGCACGGGCTCCTTTGTGCCTTCCTGGGCTCCCAAGTAATCAGTCGCTCACGGAAACAAAGTTCTTGGAAAGTACCCGGTGAAAGTGTCTGCTGCTGTGCTCGGCATCGGGAAGGAGTTGGAAATGGGATGCAAGAAGGGAAGCACTGAAAGCTTCGTTACAACCCGTCAGTGAGGTCCTCCAGCTGCAGTGCCATGCCCCATTTCCATTATTCCATTTTGAAAAGAGGTAGGGAGAGAAAAAGGAGCTCCAGAGATGGATAGCGGGGATAATTGGTGGCCTGGGGGGAATCTACAGATGA